ATGATAACCCCATCCTCCTAGGCATTTCATTATTCCCACTCCTTATGGGCCTCTGTTTCTACCTGGATACTCTCTATTCCTTCCCTGCCCATAACAGCCAATGCTCCTTGTGATTCCTCAACTCTTTTCCAACCAGACACAGTCCCGATTCCTTCAACCTTTTCATCCTCCTGTGCCAGACACCCTTCAGACATCCTCACTCATCTCTGGGCTTCTAAGACATTAACACGAGGAACACTTCTGTAATGTTTAGTACTGGTAGTACCCCTTTCTCCCACAGACTCTTCCTTTAAAAAAAAAAAAATTCTCAAAGAGAGTTAACTTCCCGTTTGCTGTCCAGGGCTTTGGTGGACAAACAGTCCTTCTTAACCCAGAACAATAGTGCTTTGAAACACTATGGATAACAGGCAAGCCCAGTGACAGAGCTGGGGAGCCTTCAGAGGACAATGATTCCCCCAGATATGTGCATATGTTTCCCAGGGAGTGTTGGGGGCTGCATGTTGAAATTTTTAACTAGAGTTACTGGCTGAAAAAAAAAGTGTTAAGGAGTTAGTTTATCTTAACCATTTTTAGATCACATACCCATTTGAACATCTGATGAAAATTATGGACTTTCTCTCTAGAAAAACATATACACATGCCAAAATTTACTAACAAGTTCATGGGCTTCAAGGACCTTTTAGGAACACAAACTGTTTTGTAGGGTTCAAGTTGTTTGTATAACTAGGTCCTGATTTGCACGTGTTTGTTAGAGACAGCAGGATTTGAAGTGGGGCAGGGGTCTGGATAAGAAGGCATCAGGGTGCTGGTTTAAAATCACTCCAGTGAACAGTAGTCATTCTTCGGTCCAGGAAATTGCTAATTCCGGTGCCAGTTCATGCACTATCTGCTATCATTCCACATTAGTAGTGTAGAGAATGAATAAGCTTTTAAAACTTGGGATAATTCTCGGGACACAGCAAGCACTAAAAAATGCCAGTTGATTTTAGGCAAAGAGAAGACTATTACAGAGCCACCAAAGGCGGCCATCCTGGGATGGCACATGAGGAACTGGGAAAAGCCCACTAAGATACCTTTGGCCTGGTGTGGCCACAGAGCCCTTGACAAATTCTACCTCATGTGCACTGAGGGTGCCTTAAGGCACTGTCTTGTACTTTCCACCCCAGAACAAGTCAGAAAGTATCCAGAATAGCCCTCACTAAAGGACGGGGATGCAGCCACTGGATCTTCCACTTCATCTGAGGCACTTCATCTGAGGTAGATTCCATGTGTGCCTCAGAGAAACTAACAGGTGATAGGAATAATAATAATAGCAGTAGTAGCTAGTATTAACTGAATTCTTACTACATTTAGACCTCATGCTGATACTCTGCATGCATAAACTCATGTAATCCTCATAGCAACTCCCATGTTGTAGGTATTGGCACCTCCAAACAAGAAGACCAGGGTGCAGAGAAGTTAGGTGACTTGCTTGAGGTGACTCATCTGTTTTGTGGCAGAGTGGAGATTGGGATGCAAAATTACCTGCTACAAAGCCCATATTGCCAGATACTAACATTGTATTACAAAAAGCATAATAATATCCCCTACAAAATAAAGAACTAGTTTATGTAGAGGCCCTTGTCCATCTTGCTAGGAGGTTTTTGTCAATGTTGGGATGCTATATTCTTACGTTTAGTTCACTGGAATCTTTTCAGCCTAAAACCCACAGGACCTTCTTATGTTTTGTGCTCACACTAAGGAATCTCAGTAAAGAAAAGGATGTTTATCATTAGATATTGTAGCTCTGAGGCACAAGAATCCTGTGAGAGTTGGGAGAATAGGACAAAACTGAAGGTGAAGGAAGGGTTTTCATGTGGACACAGAATCACTGAGGATCTGATTTATTTGACATTTGTGAAGCCAAGTTCAACATGTTGTTTATGGATGACTTGAAGCCCTGTCATATCATGTTTTATGATTCCAAATGAACAAAGCAGAGAAAAGTTCCCGCAGGAAAACTGAACAGGTGTTTTGGGGCTACAGGACATTTATTTAGTTATATGGTGAAGGTTATCTGTTTGATGGTAGAATCATTAAGTTGCCCAGGGTCATGCATGGGAACATGCTTTCATGGTTTCTAAAAGAAATCCAGAATGCCTTTTATTTCCCAAAACATCCTTTTGTAAAAGTGTTCTTGACATGGAGGGTGCTGACTAATTCAAAGAAGCACTCCCACTACCACCGCCGGGAAAGCTGTGGTAAATATGAGAGAGGCCTGGATTGGCAGGGGCTGGTGAGGTGGTCAGGCCCTAAGATAGCTCAGTAGACAGAGTAATGACTTCCTGATGGTAATACCAATGACATACAGGTATGTACTTTGGAAACTCTTAGTTCCCACTTCGTACAAAGGTCGTGACTCTGGAGACACAGAGTGACTTGAATGCTTTTGACAAGAAAATCTCTTGGCATCCTTTATTAACTTCCTTATCTTGGCCCTACCAAAAGGTACCTCAACGTTCACCTAATTCTCTAACTCCTTCTAGACAGCCCTGGAGATAAGCCTAACTGTATACTAGTCAGAAACAAAATAAACAAAAACAGGACTCAAACGGTATGTACATTCAAAGTTCTGTAATACATGTTTTCATATTAACTTGAAAAAAATGAGCGCATGTCAGTCACCTGGATTTAAAACTCTGAATCACTGTGACCTTAGTCCTTAGCATCTAGAACTGCTCCTAGCCCATGGTAAGAACTCTAAAGATATTTGTGGAACAAATGCTGTTAAATGATTTCTCATCTGGTTCTAATAAAATTCTAAAGTAAAAGTATCATTGATAATTTTTGTTGTTGTTAACATGAATTAGTTTTGTGTTTTGGAGATCCAGCGTATCTGCTGCGTAGACTCTGCTGAATATGTATCTACTATTCATTCACTTGTTCTAAAAATATTCAATTTTTAAAATATCCATAATGGTATTCTGGGCACACTGAATACCATTTAATTCAACTGGTATGAAACTCTGGAGAAAAGTCTGGAAATGAATACGGTTTCATGCTTTATTTGTATTTTACTCAAATATGTCTTATGGTTTTAAGTGGCACTAAAAAGTCAAGGTTGAATATGCTAAGACAAGGCTAATTTTTAAAACTTCACTTCCCATTTAAAATGGATTAACACTTAAGACAGCAATACAGCAGGTGGGTTGTTTTGTATTCGTCTTTGGGGGCGTGCTTTTGGACTGTGTGGTTCTCATAACACCCCAGCCATGGGTTCTTTCCATGTGTCTATATTTTAGCCTTGAAAATACCCTGGAACAGCATGGTTTTCGATAGGGTGACTATATAATTTATCGTCCCAAATGGGGCAATTTTGAGAGTTAATGGGGTCCTTGACCCTGGCTGCATGTCAGAATCACATAGGATTTCTGTGGCTGTATTTATTGAATTTCATATTTTAGAAAACTAATTTTGGTTTATTGTTACATTCTACATTCTTTGCATTTCATTTTGCTGATCAATGAACAATATATTACTTTTATATAACAACTATGAATAGTCAGTTAAGGGAAGGAGAATAATTACGCCAATGCCACAGACATAAATGGGACTCTTTAAGGCAAACAGGGTCATATGATCATCCTAGTTACTAGGAAAGGACGCAGGCTGGAGGATCAGAAATTGTTTCACACTGGCTGCTGTATTATGTGCAAGTCACTTCTCCTCTCTAAGGTTTTAGTTTATTCAAATGAAAAGCAAGGAGTTGTACTAAAATGAACCCTATTGTTTTCTTCAAATTCTACCATTCTTTGATTATAAACAGATTCAAAGGAAAGAGTTTCATTATATTTTTCAAATAGTCTCAGACTAAGAGGCAGCTGGCTAGGCAAACACATGAAATATTCATCCTCTCTTCTTTTTAAAACAACATAGTTGCAAATGCTTACATCATATTTAAGATGAATCAACGCTTGTTTCAGGGTTGGCAAAAATTTCATCTTCGCTACCTGAAGCATTGTGTTCAGAAAGATTCTAAGGACACATCTGGGCTCAGCAGAAAAATGGGCCTTGATGAATTAGTGATGCCTTCTGGGGTTAGAGGAACCTCAGAGCTCAGCAGGGACTAAGAGAGGGGTTACAGCATATGCATATGTGCCAGCTCTCTGCCATAACTGGCCTAGGTCTCTGGTGCTAAAAAATAAGACAACAAAATCTTCTCATATTTAGTACAAGTCTGCCTCATATTGATATGTAACACTGTGCTAGTCTCAGAAAGATGTACTAAGCCACATGAGAAGCCCAAGGATTTTCTTTTCCTCCTGCTCTCAATGCCCTTTCACATGTGCTCAGGTTGCAAAGTATGAGGAGTGGTCCTCGACCCTGGCTGTATAACAGAATCACATAGCATTTCTGTGGTTGGGGTCCAGCCACTGGTGTTTTTAACTTCTCACCACAACCAAAGGGTTCTACTATACAGACAGCAAGGATAAAGAGGCTAGAATGGCAGAAGAGAGTCCGGACACCTAGATCCCAGTCCCTTTTCTTTACTAAGGCTGCATGACCTTGGATACATTACTTAGCTTATCTAAGTCTATAAATGAATTTGGACTCTTAGGTATTCTTTAGCTATAACTTTCTGTGATTAAAAAAAAAAATGAGGAGGTAAAGAATAATATGGTGTGTTAACTCAAGTAAAATAGATGTCCTCCTCTTTGTAAATTCAAGGAAAGTTGACTTTATTGTCAAACAGAAAAATCTACAGTAGATGATCAGGAAACAAACACGCATCACTTTTCCATGCATGATCAATCACAACTTCTTGAAAGCGGCAGCTAAGTCCTATGATATCATCTACAGAATCCCTTTGCTTAATTGTTCTTGAAAATGGTTTTTGTAAACACTAGAAAACCATGGACATAATTTACTACTTCCATTACATTTTTTTTTTTTCATTGCTTGCACCCCTGACTTTGGCAGCTATTTCAGCATTCCTGCTATTCAGTAATTTAACATCTCACCTGAGTGACAGCAACATTTGTCCCATCAGTGACTTCCACACTCATATTATAGATGGACCTCTGCTCTGCGTCCAAAGGTTTTGCGATGACAATTGTCCCAACACCCTTCTCTGCGTCAAAAGCGCTGTCAAAATTCCCCCCTGATGATTTCACAGAAACATGAAATTAGCAAATCTGAGAACTTATTACATGTATTATATCATATATCTTTAAAGGGAGCTCTTATACAGAAATATTTTTTTGGTAGGCATCCCTATGGCTCAATTTTGTACATCTTATATGGGACCTCTTTATTTCTAATTTGATTCATAGTTCAAAACACAGCCTCTACAATGCATAACAAATGTCACGAAAAAGGAATGTATTGCAAAGAAAAACCTCAGCAGTAAATGTTAGAGTAGTGAAGCATAAACTGACCCCATTAAATATTTAGAAACCTAAAGGCCCTTCAACCTCTTGCGGCTTCACCATTAGAAATTTGTAGATCTTTTTGTTTTTTCCAAAGTAGATTAAATTCTAAGTAAATAAATAGTCCAATTATTATTAATAGAATGAGTACACATTTAAAATCTATTCCAGGATTGATGGTAAACATTTGGCTGCTAGAATTCAGATTCCCTTAATTAAATGTCATAAATAAAATTATGAATTCTAAACAGTAAAAAAAAAAAGCAAAAAAATTTTCATATTAAAAATCTATATCTGCGAGCTGGGATATTTATAGAAATACTTATGTTGCCATCTTGGTAGTGTAAATTATTTTTCTCCTAAAAAGGCAGAAAGCCTAGGGAGAGTCACAAAATAAAATTGGGAAAGAAGTAGAAGAAAACATCAGCTTATATGACACCAAATTACAAAACAATTTACATGAAAGTTTAGAAAACTTTACTTTCCCCTCAATCCCCTGGCCACATGTAACTCACAGCCCGTGAGTGATGTGCTTAAGACAACACTGCTGTTGTTGAAATCACTGCTGATGTTTCCACCTCTGGCAACCAAAGTATGGTTTATGATCTTCCCAAAATGAAAGATTTTTTTTTGAGGGGGAGAAAAATAATAGTATGAATGTTGGAACAATTTTAATTAAGCATGAGTGTATGTTCAGAAGCTCTGCTTCTTTTGGCCTGAAATTTCACGGTGTTGATTTTGTTTTCAGACAGTAATTTTATTTAACTACAGCATATAGGGCAATGTATTTATTGAATTTCATATTTTAGAAAACTAACTTTGGTTTATTTTTACATTCCACATTCTTTGCATTTCATTTTGCTGATCAATGAACAATACAATATATTACTTTTATATAACAATTATGAATAGTGAGTTAAGGGAAGGAGAATTTTACCTGAATTACTAGAATCTGATGTACAATGACATGAAATAAATAATATGGTTTACTTAAAAAAAAACCTGGCCATATATATATTTCAAATACTTATTACTTGCTGCTGTCATATACACTTAAGATTATTTAATTGCAAGAGAGAATATAATTGCCCTTGACATTTAATTAAAGTTATGGAGATATGAGAGTATCAGAGAATTGCTCGGAGATTATATACTTTTTTAAAAACTTCATCTAAAAAGAGACTCATCTTCCAATTAATATCTTTAATTGATTTGATGAGGAGCACTAAATATTAACTCCAAAAAAATTGTTTGAAGCTAGGATAAGGAGAGAGGGGGGAGTCTAGGCTGAAAAGGGAAGCAAGCCTTAGGTCATTACCATTTCTTATTCAAAGGAAATGTTTCATGTTGATAACAACATGAAACAAAATGGAAGTCTGATTTGAGTGTTGTGAAAAACCATCTTCATGAACAAGAGAGAAAAAAAACAACAACATGATCATTTGCTATTAAGCGGTACATTCTGAGAAAAAATTTGCCATGGAAACTTTCAAAGAAAGGCCATAAAATTGCCTCATAAGTCCTGTATGGAAGGAAAGATGAGAATGCAACTTCTCAGGTTGTTTCTAGTGGGTATTAAATCCCATTTTAAATCCCATTTAGAATGTTTCCTTTACCAAAATGTTAACTTTCTTAAATCTTAGGGCCATGATATGATTTGGAGGTGGGGGAAGGAGTCATCCTCTAATGTTGATTATTTTTAAATGTGAAAATGTGTGAGTCAAATCAAAATAAAGATTGTGCAAATTATAAAACTTTAGTTTGCTCCAGTTTAAAGATGATTAAAAATAAATGTTAGAGAACCAGCAAGCATAGTTTGAGTTTGAGTTACTGTTTAAATGGGGCAGTCCAATTTGCTCTCTTTCACTGACTTTGACACACATTTTCCCCAGGGCCCTGTACAAAAATACATAATCATCTCATGCGCTTAGTGGCATAACATTTACATATGGCATATAGAGTGTGTGCTTTTTCTTAGTCGTTTTTCATATCAAATAACATTTTTGGCTAATTTTATGGTTTTTTTTTTTTTTTAACAGTTTTCTCTCTTTCTGTGTGTGTTCATATATGTATTTGTGTGTGTATGTGTATGAGTGTATCTCCCTCACATTCTTTAGAACAGAAACCTCCAAAGGGACAGGGGAGATAGACCATTAGAAGAGCAGAGCCAAGAGCACTTGAGGGAGAGCCTACAAACTATGTCTCTCAGTTTACCAATATAGTTAGCAGCCTCGGACACTCATTTCCAGGACATTTGTTCCTAGTTAGACTAAGATTTAATGTAAAACAAAATCTTCCGTGAGTTTTAAAACGAATTTCTGACAAGGGACACAGAATCTAGACCAGCAGTTTACCATCAACCCTCACACAATTTAATAACCTACCACTTAAGCATCCCATTTCATAAACGACTCCATATCTCTCCCCTAGGTCTCATTTGTCAGGCTCCCTTTTAGCCTGAAAGTGATTTCATTTTCATAGGAAACCATATCCAAATCGTCCAGAGTGAGAATATCAAATGCAAGGAGTCCATTTTTGCTAGCAGCATTCCACTTAAACAAGGTGTGCTTCCTCAGAGCCAGTAACAGAACATGCAAAGCCAGAGTGTGTTTGGTGCAGCAGCGTTAGGCTCAACAAAAGGTGGGGAGGAGGGAGGACACCGCAGAGCTGGTCTGAGTTTCAACAAAGTGGGAAATTAGAAAAGTCACAGCCTGAGCATTGCTGCAGGGGTGTGCGGCAGAGATGGTTAAAAGCAAGGTTGTGAACAGCCCACATAACAGATAATTCACATTAGGGACATATCTCTTTGACCATTTTCGGTCAAGACAGGTGTAATAGAGTAAACAAAGAGCAGATGAAGCACACTGGATTTCTATTGGATTCTAAAGTTAAACATCCCAAGTAGGAATGTCCTAAAAGGCTTTAAAGATGGGACATAAGTGGAAATATTTTGAGCCAGCAGCTACTGCTTAAATGTGCTGGGCATTGGAGCTGGGCCATGATTCACTCTAGTTTTTCTTTAAAGAAGGGTACGAAGCACCTCTGTCCCTCCATAAAGACACCCAATGGTGAGAATCACACAGCTTCCCCTTTAGAGAAGCTTCCAGGTACCTCCCCTAGCATATGATTCTATTCCACTCCATGCGTAATTGTAAAAATACCAACCCACATCTAGTTGTCACCAAGGGGGAGGTGTTATGTGAGCAGCTTCCAGAACACGGAGCTGCCGACTCTCAATGAATTCAGGGAGTTGTGCACAAGCTGTTGATTCAGGTTCAGCATGTACACTGAAATTAAGAAAAAACGCTAAACACCAGTTATGGTTTGATCTTGAAAATGCTAAACACTAATTACCATTTTCCCCTAATTTTCTGCCTTGAAATGAAAGCAAGCACAGTACCTGGCTGAAAAGGATATTTACTTGGAAGACAGGGGACACCAGGTGGAGGTCAGGAAAAAGTGGTCGGAAAGAAAATCCCTTCTAGAATCGAGTTTAAAATTCATTTTCTTAAAACCGCTAATAGTATATAAAGTGTTTCTAGGCTTCTTCTTATTTTTCTGAAGTTTCTTCAGTGCTCCTATGGACCAGACTGTTGCTATGGAAAATGAGAGGCGTATTTGGGATCAAATTAGGGAAAAGGGGCAGAATAGGGGAAATGAAGTGTTTGATATCAGTTGAATAACTTGGAGCAAGGGTCACCCTGATGCAGGAGCAGCCGTAACAGAAATAACGCATGAACATGGTTTCTCTCCATATCACTGGGTAAGAGTCTTTTGTTAGAGAAATACAGCCACCTGATTAGGGAAGACCCAGAGGTTTCTAAGCTCTAGCTGAAGAACAAGGCTCTACTAGTGCTACCAGAGACTTCAACTGGTCTACTTGATTCATCTCTAAATGGCGATGGCTCCGCTGGGGACAAGGTTCAATAAACACAGGCAAAAGCTTATGACACAGCAGCAGCCTGGAGCCCAAAGTCTGAAGGAACCTATGACAAATGAAGGGTAAAAGCAGCCTTCCTGCAACACAGAAAGACATTTCAACTTGAGTTGGAACTACGTGCTATCACTCACCAACGGAGAATCATTTTCAAAGAGCAGCCTTACAGTAGGCGAGATAAAGAAAGATATTTTAGGTGCTTACGATTTACAAAGAAAACTATTTTTGTAGCCTAAGTCAGGTGAAAAGCTAAAAAATGGGTGACAGCACCCCCCATCCATCTGCAGGTAAAGAGGAACTGTCTGAGGTGCGTAATAAAGGTGGCCTTCTCTATTCCAATATTTGCCAACAGAATAAAGATACAGGGACTGAACTGTGAACCAGATTGCATGTACATTAGAGAGTCTGTAAATCAAGGAGCTGTGGAGTTGAAATCATAGTCCCCTGAGAAGTGTGAAGATATGTGATAAAGCCACAAAGGATTATGGGTTATTTGTGTTCCCTTCAGTTTCTTTCCCTTTTAACACAGAGAAGGAACATGCTGTGCGTTGGGCTGTTTAAACGCAGAACAGCTGAACTTTATTATGTTTCCTTTTAATTACAGCTTTCTTAACTCAGTTACAAGTAGGGCTTCTGTTTCTGGAAGCTGAAAAGTCTCACTGCATAACATTGTAAGCAGTGGTCTCCTTGGAGGCACAAGAAAGTGTGTGACAGATCCTCAATGTAAGGGTCCAGGCTTGGTAACAAAACCTTGCTCACTACCCCATTTTTGTGAATTCATATCATGGTGGGAGGCAAAGACATGCAGTTAAGCAAGATTTGGGTTGATTTGGAAATGCAGAAATGAGGCGACTTTACTCTCAGGGGAAAAGCATGCTGAAACACTATTTCTGCTCACTTAATGAGAATGTATTAGTTATAGCATTTGTAAGCTGTAAGTGCCATGCCAAGATGATGTCTTCTCTGTAACTCAGTGTCTCTTTAGGTGTCTGCATGCACTAGGTCTAAAATGGAACCAAATCCTCACTCCCTTGGAAGAGTCATAGAGTATTTACCTTGGCAAGGCCCATACTTATACCTGAGACCTCATTTCAGATCCATGCTGACATTACATACCTAGTGCCTATTCCAGGCATTCACTGCTATGTTTCTTAAGCATTGAGGCACAATGTTCCCTCTTTCCCCTGTATGTTAGCTTGGCCAAAAAAGATGCTTAGGTAAGGAGGAAGGGAACAAAGAGATGAGAGTTTCCATGGCCGAAGATAAATAAGCAAGAAATCTTGAGAGCAAGAATAAAACATCTGAATATGATAAAGGAAACAATAGGTATTTAGAGAGGGGGAAAGATGTTGTCAGCAGATTGAGAAAAAATGACTCTGATGGATTAGAAAGATTTTCAAAAGGAGGATTTGGTGGAACGCGGACCGTATCGATACTGAAGCAACCAGCACCTGGGAAAAGGATTTTACTTCTGTGCTGAAATAAAGATTTGGTGTTTCAAGATGTTGTTGGCTGGATGTAGGGATGGAAATAAAATCATGTTCTGTTTGGGCATCTGGCCCAGTAAGTTCAATTTGGAAAAGAAGCTTGGCTAGATGTTACCTGATTTACAGTGAACTCTCTGTGATGGAAGAATCCAGACCAGAGGGACAACCCTGTAGGTCCTCATTCAGAAACTTACAAGTGCCCTGAAACTGAAGGGAGTCTCTAGGAAGAGCGTGGCATTTAGAAATACACCAATGAAGAAACATGAAAACTGATGCCATGTTCTTGATGATGGACCCTGGGTCTATATTTAAGATAGCTTAAAGGGACTCCTTCCAGGGAGGGCTCTCATCTGTAAACTGCCTCTCTCTTCTTAGACCAGTGATGTTTCTATTTTGTCTAAGGTGCGTAGGTTGCCATGGCCGGTAGCACAGTGGAAGGTCACACTGACTCTGAGTAGCTTCCAGGAGGCATCAGTAGGGTTAGCATAGTGGCTGCCTGGGGTATCTCTATCACTCACCATAGTTTATTCCATTCATCCTGGGTTGGTAGCAACAGAGGTATTGGCAGGAGGAAGGAATGAGGACACATGGGCCTTAACCATAGGGGTTAAGAGTGGAGACAGGATAAGCACAAATGAAAAAATACAGCAACACTCATCATGCTGACATGAGAAACTTGCAAATCAGGTTACATGCAGTACTGCTAGGCATGCTTACCTACAGACAGTCACACACACACACAGGGAGGAATGATGAAGAGTTGCAAACCTGACCTTGATAACTAGGGTCAAGCAGCTGGTGAGACTGACCATTACAGAAAGGCATGCCAGTAGGATTTCAAAAGCAGACTACAAGTGAGGGCATCCCGGGGCACATAGGTGGTAGGTGGGATGTACCACGGGTCAGCAGGTTGCGTGCACGGATCATGCCAGGGAGAGATGTGACACTGTCTGGCTGTAGAGGTGCTTGGAAACTGGAGTGTCCAAGGAGGAGGGAGAAAAATCAGTGGCTGATGAGAAAGGGTAACTCATCTCAGGACAGCACACTAGACATTCTGTTGCCTATTCGGTTTCTGCTGCACTCTCCTTTAGGTTATTTAAAAGAAATCACTTTTTTTTCTTCACTTTTTTTTCTTTTACTGTTTTTTTTTTTTTTTTTTTTTTTTGAGACAGTCTTGCTCTGTTGCCTAGGCTGCTGAGCAGCAGTGATGCAATCTCAGCTCACTGCAACCTCCGCCCCAGGTTAAAGCAATTCTCCTGCCTCAGCCTCCTTAGTAGCTGGGATTACAGGCACCCACTATCACATCCAGCTAATTTTTGTATTTTTAGTAGAGACGGGGTTTTGCCATGTTGGACAGGCTGGTCTTGAACTCCTGACCTCAAGTGATCTGCCCACCTCAGCCTCCCAAAGTGCTGAAATTACAGGAGTGAGCCACTGTGCCCGGCTAGAAATCACTATTGCACATGTCTCTGGAAACCTGGCACTAGTGGTACTGTTAGAACTGAATTGCACTTTCTGTGACTCTGATTGGGGGTGGAAGTGAAGAAATCATTAAAGGTGACTGTACAGACAACCAGATCATGACTACGTGCATGTTGTGCCAAGAAAGAAGAAACTGCATCAGATAATATCTTATGAGCTGAAAGTTACTGAGAAGATAAAGAAGTGGAGACCCCTTTCATGGATCAGAAGAAGTTTCATTTCAAATATGTCGAGTAGGAATGAAGAGAGAAGTGAAAGCTTAGTGTGAGGATGGCTGTGTACAGGATGGCATGATTAATACCAAGTAAGTAAAACGAAAACGTTCCACTGTCATTCCATCAAATGAAACATGTAGAAAACAGCTCTTTACTTTTTGGAAGTTCAGAGGACTCTCTACAGAGGTTTGATTGCGGGCCATGGGCATTCTTTTTCTGTGCCTTGTTAAAACCGTTGGGGAACTTTCTAAATGCTTATCCCAAGCACAGCAATTCCTAGGGGGAGAGGCATGTTCCTGCCCATCCTATCCAGGCAGTGACATGGGGAAGGAAACGATTTCCCCAGACCAACTCTCTCCTGGATCCCCTGCCTCCCACTGAGAAGCATAGGAAGTCAGCTTTAGCTCAACGCAGTGTCGGATTGGGTGACACACACTCTCCTCTCTGTTTTAGCAACAGCCTGTTTTGTTTCCTGGTCCTCGGCACTCATTTCCTCTCCAGTGCCTCTCCCTGCTGGTTTGTCAAGGGCCATAGTGCTGTTTTGCCCTTTCCTTTTGCAGCCTGGCGTGCTTGCTTGCTTTCTTTCAAGGAATTTAAAGGTTGGCTCCCAGGGTCTATCCTGCATGCTTCCATCTGCTTCCTCTATTCGGCTTGCGGGGGAGGCTGACTGGCTATATATCTAGGTTCCATTTCCTGCCCTTCCTTTTGTGGACGACAGCCAGGGGACTCTCCTGATGGGGCTATTGGTGTATGAATGGTACTACCGCTGCAAAACAGAGGGACTGGAATACATTTTAATTTCTTTTTCAATTGGAAAAGGCCCAGTTAAATAAACCAACCTACAAAAAGATAAAAACAAAACAACAAAAAGCCCACATACCTCAAAAGCAAAGAAACAAAAATCAAAACAAACCCCCCCAAAATCCAAACCCTATCAAACTCGAACAAAGGAAGTCATTGGATACGAGTAACGCAATAGCTGTTACAGGCATATATGAAATCTGTGGGCTGCACTTCAGCCTGTCACAGGCAGTTATGAAAGATGTAATTCAATTTGCTTAAAAAAAAAACCGTAAAAGGCAGATTGGATAGCTGTATTTTAGCAAATGTGTTTGCACTAAGGGTACCTTCTGTTGAACAGTTCTGCCCACAAGCTGTCTGTAGAATATAGAACATCTCTCGAGCATGCTTGCCACCTTGAAGCAGGGCAGTCGGGAGCAGAAAAAAAAAAGAACAGAATGCAGAAAAAAGGTGAAGAAAAAGAGAGAAATGAAGGACAGCAAGTCTAGTACCATCAATACATTTAGAAATGAGATTAGCCAAGTGTGACAATAGAATTTAAATGACACACAGAAAGACATTAAGATTGCAATAAATAACGTACTATGGAAAATCCAGCCAGAGAGCACTTTCGGTTCAGCTTAGCTACAGAGTTGGAACGAAAGCACAGGTCAATTATTCATTTTACTGGCTCTTTTGCATTCCAGCACTATACATCTTTTAATCTTGGCACTAATTGTTAGTTTTTTGCTTTCTTTCTTTTTTCTTTTTCTTTTTTTTCTTTTTTTTTTTTTTTTTTTTGTTTGCTTCAGTCAATTGTTACATTGCACGATACTGCTCTGTAAGACTCGAACTTACCAACTATGTCAAACCACAGAGGGGTGTTAGCTGGCTGCACAGACACCACCCCTACAATTTCAGTCACTCTATCACTTTCCATGACTGTGAAGTTATAAAACGGCTCATCGAAGGTCAATGGTATAGGCGAAGGGGGTGGTTTCTTAATCCATTCAATGTGGAGGCGGGCCGTGGAGGATTTCTGTGGGCGCCCGTTGTCCACTGCCTTTATCTACTCACACAGGGAGAGAACAGAAAGATGTCTCAGACCTCTGATTGCTGTAGAGTTTGGATCTGTCACTCATGTTGCTGGGCCAAGAGTCCATCTTCAACACAGTGTCAGAAAGGGGAAGAAACGAGTAGAGTTCTGGGGAGAAAAGGCTTGGGAATGGAGGGGAACAACCCAGCCATGTGTAGACCTTGCACCATGTTTGCCAGAGGCTCTCTGGACCACCGTCAATGTTACAGATATGGAGATCTTGAAAGACAAATGCTGCACTTACAGTTTGTGGTGATTTGTGGCCCTGAATAATAGTTACATGAATAGAAATAGCTAATTTGATTCCTGATAGCATGATCCTGAGCCTCACCTCTGTTGGTGATATGTGAAAGGGAAGAAAGTGTATTGTGAAACCTTATATATGTGTGAATGATATGTGCAGAAGTGTGTGTGTGTATGTGTGTGTGTGGTTGTGTTTTGCAGTGTGTGGTTGTGTTTCTCAGCTCCTTCCTTCTGCTCTTTGTGATTGATAGCAGCACAGGATCCCAGGAGCAAGATAGAGTGGGCTGGGAAAGGGAGCAGCCTGGAGCTAGCTGCCTTGAGGCCCTTCAGTTTTGCCATCTGCAGAAAGGTAACAGAGAACCCTCTCAATAGCACAGTCCCTGGAAGCAGCGTGGAAGGGAGGACAGGGCTAATGACTCTCCTCTGTGGTCATAATTAGCTGATACAAGGGCTGAGGAAGCAAGTCTCCCCACCCAGCTGGGAAGGATGAAGAGTCCAGGTGAACTCTGGACTCAAATGGGAGGGTCAAAAGCTCCAAGAAGCAAAAGCCAAAACAAAACAGAAATAAAAGTAAATTTTTAAAAGGAATTTCAAGTATTGCATTTAAAAAATAACATTTATAGGAACATAACTGATAGCTACAGCCTTTCCAAACAGTGACAATGCATAGCACCCTCATGCTATGTGTTCATGAATGATTGCTTTGCCCTAGAATATCCCTGTGGGGTGAGAAAACTTGAGGATACATGTCTTAAGTCAGGTTCCCCCAGGAGCTAAGACAGGTATTTGAGTACAAATGGTGTTTTTGGGAGAAGTGCTCTCAGGTGAAAGGGAATAGAGATCAGGGTGGGCAGGGTGGGAGTTAAATCAGGGTGTGGTCCTGGCTGACCAGAGGGATCCCATGGAGAGCTCTGAACCATTAATTGCACCACAGTTGAATCCAACTTGAGGCAAGGGGATTGGACTTTTGTATCTGGGTGTCAGTCAGTCAATGGCTGTGGGCTGCTAGACTGGAGGCTGGGAATGTAGACTTTCTTTCACCAAGAATCATCCAAGGATGACTCTCTGGAGAAGAGGGCAGCTGTGAGCCATTGACAGCCAATACTTGCAGCAGTTGAGGGACAGATAATCCAGTCTGAGAATGGGAGCTGGGCAGGACACCAACAGTATCCACTTGAATCTATCCAGTCCTCAAAGATTCCCAAACTGCAAGTCTCACACACCTGCAATGGCACATAGCACATCAGAGCTCCTAACAGTAGAAACAGAGCTGGTGTTTTACTGTAGTTTTTTCTCTGCCCACTGTTCTGGCCACATAACTGAGCACAGCAAGGAACCCACATCTAGACCACAGGAAAGAAAGGATAAATCAAGAGACTCAGGCCATCGTTTAAAATAATAAAGGACAGACCTAGCAGAGAAGGATAGAGACAAAGAGAAGAGTGGTGGATGGTGCTGAGTTTTTTTTTTTTTTTTTTTTTTTTTTTTGGTAGAGATGGGGTTTTACCATGTTGGCCAGGCTGGTCTGAAACTCCTGACCTCAAGTGATCTGCCTGCCTCGGCCTCCCAAAGTGCTGGGATTATAGGCATGAACCACCGTGCCCAGCTGGTGCCAACTTTTGGTAGTTGTTGGGACCCTGGACCATGCTCATTGCTTGTAAGGATAGCAGCTGCCTTTCTGGAATAGGCACTACCTGGCTAAAGTGGTTGGGGTCGGGGGAGCACACTGGCACTGTAGATACAGGAGCTTTAAGTTTCTACATGAGATGGTTCTCATGCTTGTTTTCACTTTTCTAATTTAATAAAAAATTCAGTCACTTTATACGTGAGTTTTCCCAGTTTTGATGGAATAAACATCATTGTGATTTGTGTCTCACAATTTACACAGCTATATCCATGCTCTATCTCGTTGTTGATAATTTCAAGGTTGTTTTCTATGGGAAGTCACAGCGACAGGGTGAGAGATATGTTCAGTGGTGGGTAGGATGTGTTGCCCTGCTGTTCCCCCACCTTTAGTTTACATCTATGTTCAGCACTTTGAGGATGATTTAGGGCTGCAGAAAGAGTGGTTGAGTATGTGGTGAAACAGGCTGTGGCCTGGGAATGGGGGAAAATGCTGACAGGACACAACCAAAGGAAATTGTCTCGTCATTTAAGAATATCAGTGAAACAGGCAAGAGTTCTCACCTGCACTTGCCTCCCAGAAAGAACCCTTCCCCAGCTGTGTGGTTTCACTTTTTACTCTAAAGATTTATTGCTCAAAGGAGTATACTCGAATAAGAACATAACCACTTCCCCCCATCCGCCGTGCTGCTGGAGTTTGGAAGATCTTACCGTTAGGATGTCATAACTCCCTGCTGTAAACTGCTTTCTAGAAGAAACCATCCCAGTTTTAGGGTCAATAAAGAACTTTCCGTCATCATTCCCATCCACAATACTGTAGGAGATTTCTGCGTTGGGGCCCTCATCTCTATCAAATGCAAAAGCCCTGTAAATCGGTTCTCCTCTCTTCTTTCGGTCACGTTCCGGCAGCTTGATCTGGTAGACCTTCTCTGGGAACTGGGGCTTGTTGTCATTTTCATCCAGAACCTGAACCACCACCCAGATGGTTGACTGTTTTGGAGAGGGACCACCATCCGTCACAGTCACCTGAAAAAGAGAGTATGATGTGATCAGAAAGGAGAAAAAATTATTCTTGCTATTACACGTTAACCCATGGGTGTTTCTTCTAATGCATGAACAATGCTATCCTATCCAAATTCTTTTAGTATTCATTTTCTTCTCTCTTTTTTCATCTTTCTAGAGACTGAATTGTGTTCCCCTTAAAATTCACATGTTGATGCTCTAACCACCCATGTGTGGTTATTAAGGTTAAATGTGATCATAAGGATTGAGTCCTGATCTGACAGAACTAATGTCCCTATAAAAGAGGAAGAAACCCTAGAGATCCTATCTCTCTCTGCCATGTGAGCACACAGAAGAAGGTAGCTGTCTGCAAGCCAGGAAGAGAGCCCTCACCACAAAATGAGCCCTACTGGAATGTTGACCTTGGACTTCTCAGTCTTCATGCTGTAGTCTGAATGTCTGTGACCCCTCAAAATTTATATGTTAAAACCTGATTTCCAATGTAATAGTATTAGGAGGTGGGGCCTTTAGGTGGCGATTAGATCTCAAACCCTCATGAATGGGATTAGTGCCCTTCGAAAGAGGCTGAGAAGGCTTGCTTGTCCCTTCCACCATATGAGGACATGGCCAGAAGGCGCCATCTAGGAGGAACAAGCTATCACTAGACACTGAATCTGCTAGTGCCTTGATTTTAGACTTCCCAGCTTCCAGAATTGTGAACAATACATTTCTGTTCTTTAAGTCATCCAGCCTATGGTATTTTGTTACAGCAAGCAGAGCAGGCTAAGACACATCTCCACATAAGATTTGATTTTTTACATTGTCATTGAACAAAAGGAAAACTGTGATATATATTCCACTGTTTGATGTCTGATTTTAAGTACATTACAATGTCTTTAACAATCACAAAATACTTTTCTGTTTCTCTCTGGAAAATGCGAGGGGGATGTACACCCCTTCCCCATGTCACTATGATGCTGTTCTTATGTGTGCCTGTGAAAATTGAGACAGAAAAGAGTAATAAAGAGCACATACATAAATAATTTTCATGGAACATATAAAAAGACTTTGCATCCTAGTGTGAATAATTTTCTTATTAGTCATAGTGATAATCAGTATGATATTAATACCTAACATGTGGATGGTGTGACACAGTTTATAACACACTCTTTCATGCATTATCTCATTCACTTTCCAAAACATCCTCTTCAGTAAGTGAAGCATGTTTATTTATTCCCATTTCACAGATGAGAAAACAGAGGCTCAAAACAAACCATTGTTAATAAGTGGTAAATCTAGATATTAAACTTTTGGAAATTCTTAATGTTCTGTTTAACAAAGAAAGTGGAAGAACCCATATTTAATCTTTAAATCATTAGCTTGAATGAAACAGATTATTACTTCCATATATGTATTTGGAGGCTGGAAAGAACATAATGATGCACTCAGCATCAATAGGAGAAAAACAACAGTAAATCAAAGCAGCTGGTCTGCTATTTTTTCACCTAATAAAACAACCTGACAGATACAACTGAAACAAAGGCCAAAAATGTGAGAAAACACATTAAAGGCTTTTTGCAAAATGGAATTGCAATCTAGTTTAGTTTCTCTTACAAACTGCCTAGGAGGATAGCTTTAATAGACTTAAGATAAATTTTCATATGAGTTTTTGCTTTCTTTGAAAAATCAATCAAGTTTCCTTCCAAGTTTATTTTCTCAATTGCTTTGTTGTGTTTCACAAAAGAACCACATCGGGACCAAAATATGCCAAGGTTGGATGTTGACTCTTGAGCTAATTCCTTGACATGCCAGTTCTGAAGAGGCACATTCTGCTGCTGCTGGTGAATGCAAATGTTACACTCCCAGGTGACCTGTGTTGACCAAACACATTGATTTCTTGGCTGCTCAACTACTCTGCCTCTCTTTTCTGCTTGAGCAGCCTGTCCAAATTCAGACAACTCTCAATGTCTTCATCGTGCACAAAATCACCTCCTTGTCAATTAATGCCCTGCAATGGGCTCTGAGACAGTGTTCTGGAGCTGCTTCAGGGCCAGGTGGCTGCCAGGGAAAGGAGCCCCTCTTGGCAGCAGTTCGCTGCTCCCTAGAGGATGCTGCTGCTATAAAATGCTTCTCTTTGAAGCAGACCTGGATTTACAAACCCAAGTCCTTGAGGTGTCTACCTATAGGCGGGAAGTGTGGTAGCTGCACAGCTCTTGAAGAATCTCTCAGGAGTGCTATGCGTAGAGGGTCACTTGTCACCATGTTACCGCAAGCACCCAGCTCCCTCAGGCCATGAGGGCATCCTTCAGGTCCTCTTTTCTTTGGAGAGCTGTCCCTATCCTTTCTCTGGAGCTTGCCTACTCACCCTTTAAGTCCAGCTGAAATGTCACTTCCTTGAGGCTGCCTTCTCTGACCCCACAGACCAAGTGTCAGCTTTCCCGCCCTCATTCTGTACTGTTAAATCACCCTATGCTTTTCTTTTGTAGCACTTACCATTGTGGAAATTAATTAAATACATGATTCTCCACTTAAGTGGATAAACTGCATAAGGGCAAAGACAGACTGTGCTTGTTTTCTCACTGCGCTCACCCCTGTGTCAAGCCACAGAACATGCTCCATTCATGTTTATTTAATAAATGAGGCTCTAATACAGGTCCTACTTGAGCAGTCTCTTTAGCCAAAAAAGTCTCACCTTGCAAAACCTTCTGAGATGGTTCAAGGGCCTTTACAACATAGCTCCAAACTGCTTTTCCTGACTTTTTGCCAATTATTCCTCCATCTCCTTACCCATGGTGTCATCTACTACCTACATGCTGTTCATTCTCCAATGTGTATCTCTTGTGCCTAAGCCTGTTTCCTGATCACTAAACCAACATGTTCAACTATTTACTAGTAATCTACTTTCTGGATCCTAGCACCCCAAAAGTCACAAACTGAAATCAATACCCTCAATCCTCCTCCTTTTCCTATGTCCATTGTCTCAATAAATGGCACCCCAATCTACTCATGCACTGGTGCACACCAGAATCCTGGGCATCCCTCTGTCTAACTATCTATATCCAATTGAACTTGGGGACCAACAGGTATCTCACACACACCCCTCGCCCCATGCCAATCTCTTCTGCCGCACTGCCCTATTACAGGCCCCCCTTGCATCTTGCTTGGATGGCCACAGTAGCCTCCTGGCCTCCCTGCCTTCAGCCTTTGCGTTTGTTGTAGAGTGATAAATCTGGTCATGTCGCTGACTTGCGTAATACTCTTCAGGGGCTCCTTGCGGACAAAGATCTGGCTGGATTCTTTCTGCATCCGGCTAACCTTGACGATCAGCCTGTACTGTCTGCCCCTTTCCCACCTCTATGCTCAGTTCCATGGTGAGCTTGGGAGGTCCTGAGCATGCCATGCTCTTATAGCTGCATTCCTTTGCACAGCCATTTGTCTTCATGGAATGCCCTCTCCTAGGAATATACTTGAGTCATTCTAGAAGCCTCAATCCAAACATTCCTGTGAAGCCATTCCCTGCCTCCTGCAGACCTATGTAGGTGCCCTTAGTATGTTTCTATACCACTATGTGCATAGTCCTAGGACACTAATTATCATCCTTCATTTTAAGTGTCCATTCACTTGTTGGTCTCCATTCAATCCTTCTAGACTGTGAGCAATTTGAGATCAAGAGAACTGTCTCTTACTCACTGTTATATTCTGGCACCTGGTACAGCTCTGAGTGACAAATAAATATTCTGTGAAATCAAGAATTCATTTACCTACAACTCTTCCCTATGACAATAAGTGAAAAGAACATTCAGACACTGAGGGCCTCTGTATGAAAATGAACATATAATCTCCCAAGTGCTTCTAGTGCTATGATTCTACTTATGGGGGTCAGTTAGAGGCGGACAGTTTTAACCATGCACTCTGAGGTTTATACCCACTTTACATAACTGAAAACACTACCAATCTAAAGATTATTAAGATTATGCAAGCCAGGCACGGTGGCTCACGCCTGTGATCCCAGCACTTTGGGAGCTGAGGCGGGTGGATCACGAGGTCAGGAGATCGAGACCATCCTGGCTAACACGGTGAAACCCCGTCTCTACTAAAAATACAAAAAATTAGCCGGGCGAGGTGGCCGGCGCCTATAGTCCCAGCTACTCGGGAGGCTGAGGCAGGAGAACGGCGTGAACCCGGGAGGCGGAGCTTGCAGTGAGCTGAGATCGTACCACTGTACTCCAGCCTAGGTGACAGAGCGAGACTCCGTCTCAAAAAAAAAAAAAAAAAAAAAAAAAAGATGATGCAGAATGATTTTTAGCCACTCCTCAAACTGTGCTCACTTTTGTGGACATTCATCCAGTCTCCTGAAATGATTTATTCCCACACCTGGCTCCTTCAGTGCACTGTGAGCTACTCAAAAGCAGGAACCCTGGCTTTTTCATCCCTTTCTGAAACCTAGTGTCCTCTCGATAAATGTTTGCTGAACTGAACTACACTGCTAACCTCAAAGTCTTAATTTTCATTATTATTTCTCTGGACCCATTCATCTGCCCTGCCACATTTGTGCCGGAATATTAATCATCAAGGATTAATGGAATCATCAATGGCATCATCAATCATTCCATCAGATTCTCAGACTTCAGACTTCATGATACTTTAGGCCTGAAACCCCCCTTGGAATTAGCCCATATGAAAGGAGTAGCAGCAGTGAAGACCAAAGCAAAACGAGCTGAGATAAATCCCCATCATCTTCTCTTCTGCATCATTTCTCATTAAGGATGCAAGAAATGCGGCATTGTTTAGAGGTGATCCATATGTACTCTTGCTTTGCTACAAACTCACAAAAGAACAGAGAAACATCCTCACCTAGATTTTCTGCTCTTATTGTCAACCAATAATTAGTGGTACTAGCAACTAACCCAAAGCCTGAAAGATTAATTTCTTTAAATGATAACAGCTACCACCTAATAAAAGGAGCCACAAATAGGCTGGACGCAGTGGCTCGCGCCTGTAATCCCAGCACTTTGGGAGGCCGA